GAGATCAGCAACTGGATTTGAAGGAACCTGCTCACTTCATCTCTATAAGTTCTACTTTCTTTTGTAGTTGAACCAAATTTGTCTTGCTGATTGCATGCAATAATTTTCCATAACTTTATGTAAGAATTTCTCCTTTACCTACACACCACCAGTGACAAATAAATGTATTGGTTTATAAACCAGCTAGCAAGGAGAGAAATTAATACATATATCTTATTGAATGTGTTTGATAGAGATGAGGAATTTAGATGGAATGGAGAGGAGATGGATGTTTTTCTCTTTTCCATACAATATTTCAGCTACCCACACTCCCCATTAAATATGCAATAGATTTCTCACATGATTATTTTAGAGGCTTGCATATTTTATTAGTAACTAAAACAAAAATTGAGCTACACTCCAGGAAAACTAGGTAGTAATATTTATCCAGTAGCTTTAAGATGAGAAACTTCTTTCATCTTATAAAAAAAAAAAACACAACCACAAAGAAACAAGCAATCATAGACAACAAAATAAATAAAATAGCTATTTATAAGAAATTAAACACTTCATCTTCAAGCAGAGAGCATGACTTACCATGGAAGGGGCAACTGGGTAACTCGAGCACACGAATATCATTGAGATCCACAGAATGAACACGAAGTTCAACCTGCAGAGACTTCAAAGAAAAGCTGAGATCAGTTAAAATCACACACAAAATCAAGGAAGACTACAGGCATGCAGAAAAATGCACAAAGAGGGTATTTTCTCCACATACAGAGTGATCTGCAGCATCTTTACCTGGTCATTTTTCACTCAGGAGTGTAGATGCACGTCCATGCAGTTACACTCCAAATTTCCTCACATATCCTTTCAGTTCCTTCTTAGATGACCATTTTATACCAGAGTTCAGGAAGGAAAATGTCATCAGAGCTGATTTTGTTATGACTAATTGGCCCTTCTTTGGCCTTTTCTTCTTGTTAAATGGGAAAATGGCAAGGACACACATCCAGCTGCCACTATGAAACCACCAACTCATCTCATTGAAGTGCTGCATTCAAATGTCTCTCAGGTGAGTTTAAGTCTGTATCATCCTAGCCAAGAGGATCAAAGGTCTAAAGATTTCCAAAATACACTTCAAGACCTTTTTTTTTTTACCATTTCCAAGATCTATGAGGACTTTGTAAAGCCTGGCTGTAAGGGGAAAATCAGTAACAGTGCACTTTAAGTAGAAATTTCCTCAAAGAATCTTACTAAGAGCTGTCACAATACATTAACCAATATATAAAAATATATATATAGTTGTTACTTTTTCTTCTAAACATGTTTCGTTTTTAGTGCACCCAATTTTTAAGTGTTTTCCTTAGAACTCAAATTCTTTGGACATTAATTTCTTCTCTTGAATAGAGAGGGGGAATCATAGAATCAGTTAGGTTGGAAAAGACCCTCAGGGGATCATCGAGTCCATGTCTTACCCTACGTTGAGTTTATTCAATCAAATCTGCCAGATTAATAAATGCTGTTAATCTCCATCAACCAAGCAAATATTGACTGGGTAAGAGCATCATTTGTTACTGCAACCAATTTAATTGTGCAATGTTTTATTTAATTGCACAACACTTTAGGGGATCCTGTGGTTTAGGTTTTTAGTATAAATACTCTGCATTTTATTATACTGCAAAAACAGCAAGAGTGCCACAAATCCTGTGGAGGTTAGAGTGGAAAGCATTCAATTCAATCTTTTTTTTCCTCTTTACAATGAAAACACCAAGGGCTTTTTTTTTTTCAGCAGTCACTCAGTGTCACACGTGCACCTCAGTGACTGAGGAGCCTCAAATGTTGGATTTCCTTCAGCATTTACACAGAAAAATCAGCATACAAGGGCTGCAGGAGGGAACTCTGTGTGAGGTTTTGGGCAGGCTTGAGCTGTTATAAATGATGGCAATTTTTAACTGGCACACTCAGCCTCCTGATGGGGATGCATGGAATTCCAGGAGGTGGGAAGCAGGAAGGTTGGATGACATGCAGTGGCATGGAAGAGCCCTTTTGATAGGAAAATTCATCATTAGATGTCAGCTTGGGGCTGGCTATTTTTTCATCATCACTGTACGTGGTCATGTCAGTGGTTGAGACCTTCCAATGACTCTTCAATGACTCTTCCAAAGTCTGTGTTTCTAGTTGTTGGTAAAGTCCTTCAGGATTCTCCAGGACCAACAGGACTCTAGAAATATCAGCTGAAATTCCCTGCCTTCAACCACCACAGTAAGCAATCCCTTTATAAAAACCATCCAGGGAACACTGAATTATTCTGCATATTCTGGACGTGTCCTCTTATTCAGAGAGAAAATCCTTTCATGTGAATTGGACATTCTGAGTGCTCCAGGACCTCCAGCTCCAAGGGATAAGTGGATTAGCCCCTGTTTCTGCTGCAGGGAACAGCACTTTGGGTTGGATCCTGCCTGAGCACAGTTCAGCCCCATTTCAACACAAAATGAACCTTCACACAACGTTATTTGTGGATGAGGGACAGGAATAAACTTGGGCTTAACGTTCAGGATTTCTAGGTTCAGTGGTGGAGCTCGTGCCTTAGACTTCCCAGGTGAATTTTGGTAAATTATTGACTTCTTTTTAAAAATCATGAGCTGTTGGAGTCCCTGGTGACCTCTCGTTGTGCCTGGTCACTACCTCCTATGCTTACCTTTATCTCATCCCTCTAAAAGAGTGGATTTGGCCACAGTTCTAGCTCACAAGCTTTGGACATGAGAGGTGCCCAGAGGCTCTCTGTAGGCACCTAAAAAAAAATCAAGTGAGTTGTCTCCAACTCCCAGGAGACCTCAAGATGGCCATGCTAGCCCAAAAAGATGAAGTTTTGTGGAGCCTGGAGCAAAGCAGCAGGTTAAAGAAACTCCAAACACCACAGGAAGACAGCTTTTGTATGACTTTCTAAGGAAGGACAAAAAGATGATCCAATAGGCTTGTCAAGGGTGTTTCACACAGGAGGTGGGAAAGGAAAAGAGGCTCATACAGCAGCAAATCTCCCAACGTTGCAAAACCAAGAGCATCTGGTCTGAACACTGCAAAGAAAATAATGGTTAACCTGAGGGTTTGCAGGTACTTCATTCACACTCAGATTATAAATGCTCCCAGTAAGATCTTCCTCTGCAAAATTCCTCAGCCTGCTTTCTGTTCCCAGTTCTGCCTCAAAGTCACCTCTGCCAGGCTGTGGTCTTTAGGACCTGACTCTAAGATGAGACAGAGAAGTGACATTTGGGGTTTTCCCCTCTCCAAAATCCATATTCCACCTTCTCAAAGGCTTTGGCCACTTGAGCAGCCACGAGCCACTTTCACACGGGGTAGATGCAGGTGGCAGCTCGGTGAGGAGGAGTTGTTGGGACATCACCAACCCAGAACTGGGCTCAAGGGGTTTGTCCACCTCTGAGACACACCAAAGTGGCATCATCTGAACAGAGCAAAGAACTGAGCTCTCACAGCTGCCTCTCCCTTCTTTGAGTTTATTTTTCCTAGCTATCCAGGATGCCCTTTAACACACCACAACTGTGATTTTCCTGCATCAAATGTATGTGGAGACTTTGATGCATTCAAGATATTCCCACTTCAGGTTTAACAGGACAAGTGGCAATGGACATTTCTGCCATTACTCTGTCTGCAGAGCACCCAGTCCCAGGCTGAGCTCCCAGGTTCCCTGCCAGGTACCACAGGTCATATGAATCATGAAGAACCATAATAAAAATTCCCAGTGCCCATAAAATTTGCATTTTATGAGAGTAAATTAGCAGCCATGTCTTCCCCTTCCCTGCAAAGCCAACATGGACACAAGCAAGCCCTCCACTTGCACCACTGAGATCTCACCTCCAGAGGCACAAAGCAGCTGAAAAGCTGCTGCAGATCCACATTTGACTCTTTCTGGGCACTTCAGAGAATTGTAGACTCATAGAATCAGAATCATTCTGGTTGCAAGAGACCTTTAAGATGATCAAGTCCAACTGTTAACTGCCACAGGTCAGCAGTTAACTGCCAGCTCACCACTGAACCGTGTCCCTCAGCACATTTATTGGCTGCAATCCCCTTAAACCTGCTTGTGGTTCAGAGAGAGGGTGGCCCTGGCTGGTAGAGGTGAGAGGTTAGAAGGCTGAATGGGGCAGCTCAGGGAAGATGTCCCTGCTTATGGTGGGGGGGTTGGACTAGATGACCTCTGGAGGTCCCTTCCAGCCCAGACATCCTAAGATTCTATGCAGCAGAGCTCTTGCTTCCCCTCCTGCCCTCAGGTAGTGGGATGGGCAGTGACTGGAGCACATCCAGCCACTCCTGGAGCACGTCCAGCCATCCAGGAGCACACCCAGCCACTGCAGGAGCACATCCAGCCATCCAGGAGCACATCCAGCCACTCCAGGAGCACATCCAGCCACTGCAGGAGCACACCCAGCCACTCCAGGAGCACATCCAGCCACTGCAGGAGCACACAGCACTCGTGTCTGCAGACCAGAGCCTGTCCTCCCTGTCATTTACTTCGCTCCTGTGCCACCGAGGTGTGTGCACAGAATTGCTCTCTGGCCATGACACTGCCATCAAAGGTGACCCTGGGGCTGCAGGGTTTATCACACCTATTTTGAAGCCCTCCTGCACTGGTGGAGCCCTGCACATCCCTCTCCCAGCAAAGGGGACAAAGCTGCAGCCTGGTCCTCCCGTGCCAGCAGCAGAAATTAGCTTTGAAGTCACGTTTTCCATCCTACCTCAGACAGGGATTGTTGGCTGTGTCACAGTCACCATCCTCAGGATTTCAAAGCCTAAATCACCCCCTGTAATTATAGAAGTCCTCTTCCCTGCTTGCAGCCAACAGGCACAGAGATGATGTGGGCAGAGGCAGCGTGAGCTTCCTCACCCAGCTCTGCCAGTGCCAAGCCCCAGCACGGGGCAGAGCCACCCACCGTGCCAGCTTGGGCCACGGTGTAAAACCTGAGCCTGTGACCCCAGATGTCCCCATCTCCCATGAACTGCAGCACCAGGCACCTCATAGAACCTCTGCCACATGAGTGGGGTGGGACCCCAGCCACCCCCAGCAGGGTTTCAGGGTGTAGGGACCATGCCCTGGGGAGGAGGGGATGCTGCTCCTGGTGCTGCAGTGAGCACCATCCTCACAACTTCTGCTGGTGCCACCAGGTTCCTCCTGTGCTCTCCAGGAGCTGACAAGAGTAATGCTCTCAGCAAGAGTGGCTGGAAACGTGGCAGAAAACGTTCCCCATTTCTAGGCACTCCTGAGTTTTTGACAGATCCCTTAGCATGCCTTCCCCAAAAACAATCTGCGTGAGGTACGAGGAGCAAAACAAGCTCTCGTTATCCTCCAGCAAATGTTAAAGCCATTAGATAATTTATCTGGAGGAAAGGAAAAAGAAAAAAACCCAAAGCAGAGCAGCTAAAACTTGCTCAGCCCATTAAAGGGGAGACTCAGGGAGTGGAAAGTGGCAGTGATTAACATCTTTGCAATGCTTATTTGTGCGTGCCAACGTAATTTATGCCTCCTGAAGCTTCTCAAATAGATCCTACAGGAAGCTGCTGGCTAAGAAAAGATGTCAGTGCTGAGCTCAAAAGACACCTGTCAAAGCTGAAACCCAATTTCTCTTCAGAGGCAACAAAGATGATCTGAGAGAGGCTGAGCAGTTG